GCCTTCCATTTATAGGGCTGGAAAACCCCGTACGCGGCGCGTACTTCCGGAGTACGCGGGGCGTAAAGTGGCGTCATGGCTTACGACTCGGGTCTAGCTAGCGTAGCTTGGGCGGGTTGATGGGACTACTGGGTCTAGCCGAGCGTAGCTTGGGCGGGTCGATGAGACTCGACTCTGGGTCTAGTACGCGGGGCGTACTCCCAGAGTACGCGGGGCGTAATCTGGCCTGCCCTCTTCTAAATTTCGTAACTTTCGCGTACGAGCTCCGTTTTTCGCGTTCTTTATATCCACGCGTAGGTGAGATTATGCTCTAAAACTTTCATTTAGACTCCGTCGGCTAGTTTTGACTTTATTTTTAATGATATAATTTTAATAGGCCGGGCCTCCTAAAGTTCGTTAAAATTTCATAGGTTCTTTATTCGATGTCGGTTTTCGTTTGTCTTTTGATTGTTTTATTACCACCGAGGAGATCTTCAACTTCCGTTTAGGTGGCGATAGCTAAATAACACTCGATCTTTAATCCGAGTTTTTAGCCCTCTACTACTGTTACGAAACTTTGAAAATGCGTAACTTCTTCATACGAGGTCCAATTTGGGCGATCTTTTTATGCACGCTCATCTTTCAACGAGATCTACGACTTTTGTTTAGATAATGTAAGGCTAAAATGTATTTTATTGAGATTCCACTTTTTACGTCAAATTATGTTTTAACGTCGTGTCGTAATTATACGAGTGGTTATAATTTCTTCAATATAACTCGGTTTTGAGTGTTCTTTATGTTTTTGGAAACCTGGGCATGATATCTAATATTCGATGCATCCCAACTTAGATACCTGAACACTTTATTTTCGAGGTTAACTTCGTTGTTTTTAGCTTTCGAGTGTTTACAATGCTTTTGGGAAAAATAGGGTTGTCACATCATCCCCCTGTTAAGGGAATTTCGTCCCGAAATTTAATCTAAGATTGATATTACAAATTAGGAAAAAGATGCGGGTACTTTTGTTTCATTTGATCCTCTCGTTCCCAGGTGTATTCAGGTCCTCGCTTGGCGTTCCAGCGGACCTTTACGATAGGTATGCGGCTTTGTTTAGTCCTTTTGACTTCCCGATCCATGATCTCTACTGGTTCCTCTACAAATTGGAGGTTTTCGTTTATTGCAATTTCATCTAGAGGGATGACAAGGGTCTCGTCGGATAAGCATTTCTTCAGGTTTGATACATGAAAGGTAGGGTGTACGTTGTGGAGTTCCTGAGGTAGTCTAAGTTTGTAAGCCACTGGACCGATCCTCGCTAGGATCTCGAATGGTCCGATGTATCTGGGGTTCAGTTTCCCACGTTTTCCGAAGCGTATCAATCCTTTCCAAGGCGAGACTTTTAGTAGGACACGGTCTCCAACTTGGAATTCCAAGGGTTTTTGTCTCTTATCTGCATAACTCTTTTGTCTATCCCTTGATGCCTTTAGACGTTCTCGGATTTGAACAATCTTCTCCGTAGTTTCCCGTATGATTTCTGGCCCAGTAAGTGTGTTGTCAGTTGCTTGTCCTTTTGCTAGTTGGGTGTCTCCCACTTCGGCCCAGCATAAAGGTGACCTGCACTTGCGGCCATAGAGGGCTTCGAACGGGGCAGCTTTGATACTGGTGTGGTAGCTATTGTTGTACGAGAACTCGACCAAGGGTAGATGCGTGTCCCATGCTTTGCCAAAATCGATTACGTAGGCTCTCAGCATGTCTTCTAGGGTTTGTATGGTTCTCTCGCTCTGGCCGTCGGTTTGAGGGTGATAGGCGGTACTCATGTCTAGTCTTGTCCCCAAAGCTTTTTGTAGCGACTGCCAAAATCTTGAGGTGAATCTACTATCTCGGTCCGAGATAATGGATACGGGCACACTGTGCAGTCGTACAATTTCCCTGAGGTACATCCTTGTTAACTTCTCCAATTTATCCGTCTCTTTGATCGGTAGGAAATGCGCTGATTTAGTTAACCTGTCGACAATTACCCAAATGGTGTCGAGTCCGTTTGTCGTTTTGGGTAACTTGGTTATGAAATCCATAGTTATCCGCTCCCACTTCCATTCGGGTATTTCTGGTTGTTGTAATAAACCTGAAGGCTTTTGGTATTCTATTTTGACCTTAGCGCACGTCAGACATTTACTCACGTAGGTAGCAATTTCGGCTTTCATGTTCGGCCACCAGTACAACTTCTTGAGGTCGAGATACATCTTGTCGGAGCCGGGATGTATGGAGTATCGTGTTTTATGGGCTTCGTCCATGACGATTTCTCTGAATCCACCAAACTTTGGTGTCCATATTCGATCCATGAAATAACGAACTCCGTCGTTCTTGGTTTCAAGATTCTTATCCATTCCCCTTAGGGTTTATCCTGCCACATTTTCATATTTCAAGGCTTCTATTTGGGCTTCCTTGATTTGCGTGGACAAGAGGGAATGGATCGTCATAGTTAGGGACTTCACTCGGCGACCTGAGTATTCCTTCCTACTGAGTGCATCCGCCACTACATTAGCCTTTCCGGGGTGATATCGAATTTCGCATTCGTAATCACTTAGTAGTTCTACCCACCGTCTTTGTCTCATGTTGAGTTCTTTCTGGTTGAGGATATGTTGAAGGCTTTTATGGTCAGTGAAGATCGTGCATTTTGTGCCGTAGAGGTAGTGTCTCCATATCTTTAGAGCGAAAACGACTGCTCCTAGCTCAAGATCGTGCATTGTGTAGTTCACTTCATGCGTCTTTAGTTGTCTTGAGGCATAGGCGATGACCTTCCCTCGTTGCATCAGGACACACCCGAGTCCTTGGTTTGATGCATCACAATAGACCACAAAGTCCTCCGTTCCTTCTGGCAGGGTTAGGATGGGCGCACTACATAATGCTCGTTTTAGCGTTTGAAATGCGGCATCTTGTTTTTCTCCCCAGTCGAAGGTCACATTTTTCTGAGTTAGTGTGGTGAGTGGCTTGGCAATCTTGGAAAAATTCTGTATGAACCTTCGGTAATACCCGGCGAGTCCTAAAAATTGTCGGATCTCTCTAGGGGTTCTTGGAATCGTCCAATTCTCTATTGCCTTGATCTTCGAGGGATCCACGTGTATTCCTTCCTTGCTTACTACGTGTCCTAGAAAATCCACCTCACGAATCCAAAATTCGCACTTGGAAAATTTTGCGTAAAGTTTCTCTGCCCTTAAGTTTCCAGAACTGGCGGAGATGTTGGCTGTGTTCTTCCTGGTTTCTAGAATAGATGAGTATATCATCTATGAACACGATCACGAATTTGTCCAGGAAGGGACGACATACTCGGTTCATCAGATCCATGACACTGCTGGAGCGTTTGTCAACCCGAAG